CTTTGGAGATGTACAGTTATTATATCTTCTACATATGATGAATTACAAATCAAAGGGAAATAAATTTTCTTAAAGTAAAACAAAATATGCCATGGAAGTTTATGGAAAGGAGTAGAAATACAAGAATAAGTGTACATAGCTTTGAGGTGTTGAAGGTAGTCAGAACCTTTACAAGTATGTCTCATGAGTCTTTTGTTTTTGTGGGTGAGGTAGCTCAGACCTACACTGGCACAGCAAAGTGCTCAGTGTTTAGTAGTGAGAAATGACAATATAGGGACTAGCAACCACTATCCCTTGCTCCAACCTACATATGTTAGTATAAGAATCCATGAATCTGGAAGGAATCCCAGTGAATGGGGAAATGCTATGACAAGCCCACAAGCAGAAGTCCTTCCTATGAGGACTCAGACAAGGACAAGAGGAGAATGCAAGAAAAAGGATCAACTCGATACGAGCATTGTTAGGAAGCACTGAAGGAACAAGAGGCCAAAGTTAAAAAAAACACACAATTCATTGAACAATAAAGAAAAGAGCAAATTATGGAAGCCAAGAATGAAAGCTAATAATCAAAAATGAAAATAAGCTAAAAGAATTCAACACGGTAAGGAAAGACAGTATTTTGTGCCCATTTTATCCAAAGTATATCTATCTAGAATTATTCCCATGGAAAAAAAAACCTGTTGTAAATAAATACAAAAGTTCACTTAGAGGGATAATCTGATGGGCACCAATGGCTCACACCTGTAATCCTAACTACTCTGAGGGCTGAGATCTGAGGATTGTGGTTTGAATCTAGCCCCGGAAGAAAAGTCCCTATGACACTCTTATCTCCAATTAACCACTCAAAAACCAGAAGTGGGGCTATGGCTCAAGGCACTAGCCTTGAGCACAAAGAGGCTCAGAGACAGCACCCAAGCCCTAAACTCAAGCTCTAAAACCACCACCACCACAACAACAAAGAGGGATAAACTTTAAGTGGTAGCAATATTAAGTTTCCATTCTAAAATGTTAAATGAATAAGAAATAGAAATTCAAAGACTTAATTTCTATCAAGAATAAGGTCTACATAAAATCAAAGAAACATTGGAAAACCTAAGGGTAGCCGGGTGCTGGTGGCTCAGACTTGTAATCCTAGCTACTCACAAGGGTGAGATATGAGGATCATGGTTTGAAGCCAACCCAGGCAGGAAATGAGACTCTTACCTCCAATTAAGTACCAGAAAACTGTAAGTGGTACTGTGGCTCAAAGTGGTAGAGCACCAGCCTTTAGCAGATAAGCTCAGGGACAGCACCCAGATTCTGAGTTCAAGTCCCATGACTGACAAAAACAAAAACAAACTGAAGAAACACCTAAGGGCATTCATACCCATAAACCCAAAAGATGACTTTTGGCTTTATGTAGATGTGGCCAATGAATGAGAGAATTCAGGAGATGAGGAATCCCAGGCATTGGGAATAAATAGCACTGCCTTCATTCAGAGGAGGTCCATATAATATCCAGAATTGATTTAACTTAGTTCTTTGCCTTTTACACTTCCTTAAGAACCTAAACTTACATTTTTAAAATTATAGCATGGAATAACTTCTAAAATATTAACTTGCATGGTTAACTTGATGAGCCAAAGACCCCTTTTTGTTGCTTCTTGGAATAATAAACACTCAGTTAAAAACCTATACTTAACAGAGAATACAAGTAATATAACAAAATGAGGCAAATGTTATAGAAAAGTGAATTTAAAGTATATCAAACCAGATGTGATGGTGGACATGTGAAATTCAGCCCTTAGGAGGTACACCCCAGAGAAATTTTGAGTTTGAGGCCATCCTGGGCTACATAGAGGGACCCTTTCTCAAAAAATGAAAGAAAAGCCAGGCACTGGTGGCTCAAGCCTGTAATCCTAGCTACTCAGGAGGCTGAGATCTGAGGATTGCCGTTCATAGCCAGCCCGGGCAGGAAAGTCTCTTATCTCCAATAAACCACCAGAAAACTGGAAGTGGCGCTGTGGCTCAAGTGGTAGAGCACTAGCCTTGAGCTGAAGAGCTGAAGGACAGCGCCCCAGCCCAGAGTTCAAGCCCATGACTGACAAAAACAAAAACAAAAAAAGAAGAAAGAAAAATCAGTAGGAGGCATAGCACAGGTGGTAGAGCACCAGCCAATGAGTGAAAACATGTGTCAGTGAGTTCTAGTACAAGTCTCAAACAAGAAAGAGAAAGCAAGAGGTGAAGGAGAGAGACAGAGAAGAAGGAGGAAAGGAAGGAAGGAAGGAAGGAAGGAAGGAAGGGAAAAAAAGGAAAATGTGGCTAGTGGGTGTACATGCACATAGTATATGCATGTATATGTGTGCATACATATATGTGTGTAGGTGTGCATATACACATATGAATATATGTATATGTGTATAAAATGCTAATATGTATATATACACATAATACATGTGTGTTTGTATGTGTACATACATACATATGTATATATGTATACATATGTATACAAATCAGTATATGGTCTTCCCTTCATTTTCATGGGGTTTCCATCCTCTAATAGTTAGCAGATAGAAAATACTGTGAAAATTACGTCTGTATTGAGTATGCTCAGACTATGGCCATTCATCATTTCCTAACCAATATACCATAAACTATACCAAAGTTACATTGTATGAGGCATTATAAATAATCTAAGACATGAATGATCTAGAGATGAGGTTAGCATAAGGGAGGATATACTCATATTCTATGTAACTACTCCACCATCCTAAAGCAAGATATTTGAACATGTGAGGATGTGGGATCTCTGGGGTGGCATTTGCAGCAATCTCATGGAATATTGAATGCACACATTAAGATCATAAGATGTCAAATCAGGTGAACATGGATTTAGTCCCCAATTTAACTACTTCTTAGTTGTTTAAAAATCTCTCATTCCTCTTTACTATTTATCTTCTTCTCACCATCATTCTTCTTCTTTCTTTTATCCAAAAATGTTTCCTGAGCATGTATTTACTATATGCTAGTTTCATGGAATGTTTTTACAGGGAAGAAATTTATGGTATACCACATGAATGTAGAGGCAGATGCAGAAATGAGGTAAACTTGGACCATTGTCAGTAAATTATGAATAATCCAAAACAAAGATGGAAAGGGTGGGTAAAATCAGGCTGTAGAGGCTCCTGAGAAGCAGTATCAAATTAAGATGTAGAGAACCAGAAAGGAAATCAAGTGGCCAAATGGTAAGGAGATAGTCAAGTACTAGAAGGCCAAAAGAAGGGATAATTTCAAGTGGCAGAGAGAGAGAGAGAGAGAGAGATTACTAAGTATTTCAAAGTGATCAAGGAAGAGATTGATATAACTGTTAGAAAGGCATTAATTATTTAAAAAATAAATTTTCTTGAGAAATGAGGGTAGAGTCCAAAGGTGGGGATGGAAGGAAGGGAATTGGGTGCAAAACTGGACTAAGGAGGGCCAAGTGTCTCGTAGGAAGTGTCAAATGGAAAGAAACAAATGATATGCTAAGGGTAGAAGAAGCTCCAAGGCCAAGATCAGATACATTTTTTTCTTCCTAAGATGAGCAGTTCCTACATATGTGAAGTCAATAAATAAATGAATGGAGACTGAAGACTTCAGGGGGAGGGAATACAGAGGAGACGGAACTGAAGCAGAGCCAGAGAAACACTGCTTCCCCAGAGACAGAAGGGCAGAACTCCACACTGAGATTTTTTTGTACCACACTAAGATGATCTGTGTACTGCAGGTAGGCACTTATTAGAGTAGAGTGGCCACATCAGGGTACAAAAAAGACCGAGTGTCAGAAGTTGCAGAAAAACAAACATAAAAGACTTGAGTCCATCAATAGCTTCAAAGAGCATCAAACTGTTCTGATTCACCACCCGGAAACCTTTCTGCTTCTTCTGTTGTGTTGTGGGGAAGGGCTGTGGACAACAGAGCCAAATGTTGAAAGTGAAGTCCCTTCATATTAGCCTCTCACTTCAGAGACAATGGTACCGAGTTGTAGAAACTACAGGTCCAGCCCAAGCACTGTTATTGGTGTTATACCTGAGCCAGATAAAGAGAAAGTTGGAGGTTAGAAGGAGTGGGTGTTTATGTTGTGTTAAATACATCCTACAAGTTAGTCATTGTAGAAGAAGGGTCATTCTATTCTGTGCAAATATGTCTTCCTCTACCTTCAAAACAACCAATTATACAGCCCTTACCTCAAAAGTGTTCCAAACTTGTGTACACTTTTCCTCCCTTCCCTGCCTCAGAGCAGAAAGAGGCAGGGAAGACAGCTGTGAGGATTTCAGCTCTGGTCCTATCTCTTATTTGAGTTCATCCTTGGGAAAAAGGAAGCCAGAGGGTTGGCCTGGGGCAAAGTGGTGCCTCCCCCCCCCAAGAGTCCAGGGCTTGCACCCCAGGAGTGACAAGTGTATTCAGGGATCCCCCAAAACCAGCTTGTGTGGTCCCCAATACTCAGACTACAGAAATCCTGCTGATGAAGAAGACCTTAGTGTGTATTTGAAAAGCAGACTAAGTGCACTTGGCGGGAGCGGGCAGAGTGCTGACCTGGCATCTTTGCTTTGGAGTCTTCACATTCTTTTGCATTTGCCTATCTGTGCCAGCGGCTGAAACTGGGGCTGCAGGCAGAAGGCGGGGTGCCTGCCACAGCAAAGACCCCCCTGGGCCCAGGACTGAAATAAAAGGAGGTGTGTGGGGCTGGGGGGGGGGAACCCCTGGCACTAGCCAGGGATAGCCTGATCTCTGCTCCAGTCCACAAATCCTTAACGGATTTTCTTTCTCTCCCTTCATCCTTTTCTCTCCTTTGCTCTCTTTCTTTCTCTCTCCCTCTTTTTCCCCTTTTCCCCTCTCTTTTCCCCTCCCTCCCTGCCCCCTTTCCCCTCCTCTCCCATCCCCCCCCTTCCCCTCCCCCTTTCCATGTGTGTGAGCCTCTTCCTCTCCCCTCCTCCCCCTTTCCGCCTCTCTCTCCCTCTCTCTCCATCTCCTTCTCTCAGCTCGCCGGGCGACCCTGCTCCTGCCTCCCACATTAATGGCGGCATCTTCAGAGGATGACATAGACCGGAGGCCCATCCGCAGAGTCCGCTCCAAGAGTGACACCCCGTACCTTGCGGAGGCCAGGATCTCCTTTAACCTGGGGGCAGGTAAGGACGCCTCTCTCGCCTGGGTCCCAGTCCATGACACCCGGCTTCCTTCCTTCCCTTCCTCCCAACCAGCTGCCCCCCCACGCCCCTCCCTGTGCCCCCCTCCCCTCCCAGCCCTGCGCCCTGCGCTCTGGCTGGGCTCTCTTTGTGTCACCTCGTGCAAGGAGGGGGTGTGTATGTGTGTGTGTGTGTGTGTGTGTGTGTGTGTGTGTGTGTGTTGCAGAGGTGGGGGAGGGCGGCGCATGGAAGCCTGCGTCCACCCAAGAGTGACACACGGGTCCCCCCCCTACACACACACCCCTTCGCTGGAAGAAAAGAAAGTGTGGTCAGGGCTAACAATGATCTTAGGAATCACCGCAGCCCCGTGCGCCCCTGGGGATGCTGGCTGTGGGCGGAGGGTCTGGCCAGGCTCCAAGCAGATGCTCCGGGGCAGAGCCACTACAGGGTGGAACTTGTTGGTGACATTCAGACTCCTGGTGGTTTTGATGGTGGAGGCCGCCGCCGCTTTGGAGAGGGGGCGGGGCTGGTTGCAGGGGAGCAGAACCTTATTCCGGGTGGAGCAGTTGCAAGGCAGTTGGGTGGCTGGAAAAGCAAAAAGGGAAAGAAAAGCATGAGGAGGAGAGGGGTGCTGTCCCTGGAATCAGTGCTTGAAGTGGCCCAGATAGAATTAAGTGAAAAGGGTTACTGAGTAGAGAAGGAGAGGAAAAAAGAGAGAGCACTGGAGAAGGAATATGAGGAAGGAAAGGGAAAGAAGAGAGGAAGGAATGAAGGGAGGAAGAAAAGGATGGAGGGTGGAAAAGCAGGTGAAATGGAAAGGAAAGATAGAGAAAGGATGAGGAAAGGAAGATAGGAAAGAAGGAGGAAAAAGAGAGGGTTAGAGAGAGGAAGGAAAAGAAAGAAGGAAAAATAGGAGAGGGGAGGGAGAAGGAAGAAGGGAAGGAAGGAGAGGAAGAAAGGAAGGGAGGGAGGAAGGACAAAAGGAAGGAAATAGTAAAAAAGAAGGAAGGAGGAAAGAAAGAAAAAAGAAAGATTTGAGGAAGGAAGGAAAGAAAGGAAGAAGAAAGAAAAAGAAAGAAAGGAAGGAAGGAAGGAAGGAAGGAGAGAGCAAAAGACAGAGAAACCAAGGGATTAAGAGAATCAAAAAGACCTCACCTAGTTCAAAGTCTACCATTCCCAGTGCTGCTGCTGTGTGAAACTCGCTCCTTGTGTAAGTTATTCTTGTTACTGAGAGAAAGTTGTTCCCCACTAACTTAACTTCACAGTGCTGCCTATTCTGACTGACTCCTAAGCCCTTCATCTCCAGGGAACTTGATTCTTACATCAACTCCACTGCAGAAGTGTGAGTGCATTTCCTGAAGACTTGCTTGCAGAATTTTATTTGGGAAACTCTACCCTTGAAAGAAGCACGCGCGTGCGTGCGTGCGTGCGTGCGTGCGTGCGTGCGTGCGTGTGTGTGTGTGTGTGTGTGTGTGTGTGTGTGTTGGGTAGAGTAAAGAAACCTTCACATGGTGAGTGTTATGAGAAGTTTGGACACATGAGAACACTGTGTAGAGAAATAAGGTGTATCATCTGTGCAATTGAATCTAGATGGCTGGAAGAACAGGAATTGACTGTGTTGGTATTCAAGTTACTTGGAGTATAATTTTCTGTTTCATTGATTTGGTCCTTTATATGCTGCACATCTGTCATTTAGATGGTTCCCTTTGGCTCTGGCAATGCAAAAAAAGAACTTTATTGAGGAGACTTTGGTTGTGTGTATGTGGGGGAGTACACTATGGCAGCTCATAGTGCTCCTTTTGGAATTGGCAGTCCCTTGAGTGTGTATATTTAATGTATGGTTATGAAGGTTTATTTGGTTTTTTTAGGAAATGAGAAGAACTTTGTTGAAGACCATGATTGTTTTGTTATGTTAGCCCAATGATATCACCAATTACCCTACTGACCACTTTGCTAACTAACTCAGCTGTATTGTTTCAGGCTTCTAGCTTAGAACAACAGAAAGGGGATAAAGCAGGAGTTCATACAGGTCATGTGCCTTCTTTTAGTACTTTAAAAACAGAACAATGAAGCACCGAAAAAAGAGTTTCAAGTTGCAGGGACTACTTGATTACATTGAGTCACTTCAGCAACAGATTAGAACTCAAGTAACTTGCAATCTTTATCCTATTTAAATTGCTCTGGAGGCCAATTAAAAGACTGGCTCAGTCAGAACTTATCTTCCTTTCATCTGGAAATAAACACACCAGACAAGTCCCTAGATCCTTCTATATGTCTCTTAAAATACATCTCAATGCAAAGTGGTAAGAAAGACACCAGGGAGAAGGAGAAATGGTATGGAGAGGCTTTGCTCTAGGAGGGAGGGAAATCACAGCTCCACACTGGGCCTGGGGAGCTGTCCTCTCTTCCTGGTGCTGAAGGAAGGTCAGGGAGCAGAGACCTGGGACAGAGAAGGGAGCCTTCTTGGACCTTCTCCAGGATAGAATCCCAAGGTAATAAGGATGATGTGACCACTGAGAACTTTTCAATCCCTGCCCACCTACATTTGCCACCTGTCTACTCTCACAACTACTATTCTGCTACTCTTACCCCCCCCCAATTTTGCTCCGGCTGCTCACTTCTGGGGCTTTGTTTATTTTCCAGCTGGTTTCTAGTTGCTTTTCCTAACAAAGTAAGATGTATTCACAGATGTGCCTTTCCCCCGTATTTGAAAGTAATTGTAACCCCTGATTTGAAAAAGCAAGCAGCCTTGTTTATCTCCTTGAGCAGTAAGTTGTAATTAAACGATTAGTGTCATTATCAGCACTACTGAATGGAGAAGCTACATACTCCCAGTAAATTACATAATCTGGGCATAGAAGAATTTTGGTTTGCTTTTAACCACAATTTACAAACAACTAAGCAAGCAACGATTGCTCTCCTTTCTTCCTTATTCCCATGTCCTACCCCTAACCTTTATCATTTATCCTCTCGCATTGTTTTAAACAGCTTATGTTAAATATTTGTATTCTTGAACCCACTCATTATGTAAATCCACTTTTGATATTGCAAAGGTTTAGCCATGCTTCAAGGGGATAAAAGTACCTATGTTCATTTTACTTGGTTATTATAAAAATGATTTAGATGCCATCTTCCTTCCACAAATTCACTCATTGCCAAGAATTTTAAATATTCATTAAATACTTCAACATTCCTTCAGTACACCTTGCATCCCTGAAAGTATTTAATAATATTCTTTTGGAAATAATGCACAGCTTGAGTGAAGAATGTATTCCTTCACCTACAATCTCAATATCCCTAAGAGAATAGCACTGAAACATGATTCTTTCATCCACTACACCAAGGTACTAATTTCAAGGTTCAGGTTGAACTGAGAAAACAGAGAAGAGAATTTTCTGAGCTATTCAATTTATTTGGTTGAAGAGCCCCTTCCTTAGGTTTGAAACTTCTGCTCAGTGTTCAGGCCATGCAACTTCTGGTAAATTGTTGTCTGGTAATGACAGTATAAATGCTAAGGGAAATTAAGTCAATGTCTGTGATGAAGGTTACCCAGAGATAGCAGGCCTCATTTAGAGCAGTGGAAAAGGGGGTGTTTTTCCCTGAGAAATACAAATGTATTAAAAGGACATTCTGTAACAGAAGAGTATGTGCACAATGTGAGTAGCAAGTGTTTCTAATTATGTTCTCACTTAGTAATGAACATCACTGACATTTTACTTGAGAGAACTTGCCCTTCCTTAGGAAGTCATTCATTCACTGCACTGCACTAAATTCAGTGAAAACTTGCAGCATTTCTTAAGTAGACAATTCCCTACCATTGAATGTATCCTATTTATTTTTGCATTGACATTGTGTTGGAGAGTATCCGATACATAGGAGGTGCTAAAACTGAAAAGTTCTCCACAATTACACCCTAAAGTGAATGAAAGTACTCAATAAAAATAAAGAATTAAAGCACGAAGGTTTCTTAACAAAATATATATGAAAGAAGAAAAGCTAGCCATTCTAATGATTTAGGACTTTTGACACAAACGTAATGTTGAGCACTATTGACAAGAATGAGTACTTTTTTCATTACAAGGAGTTTTATTTTTCATTGACATTTCAGAACTGTTTTGTGCTATATGAGTGAGATTTTAAGTGAATAGCACTGTCATCTCCAGCATTCTTACACTCTTGGGAGAGCCAAGATGTATTTGAGTTCTTGATATCACCTAAGAATAGCCATATCTCCCTTCTACTATGCTCTTCCACTCTTGCAGGCCCATAGAATAAGCAGAATTAGCATTAGCTTGCTCTGACTACCTCTTAAAATGGATGGGTCAGCTAGTCAAAGTTCAAAAGACAGTCTCAGGGAAGTCGAGATGTGGCTCAAGTAGTAGAGTACCAGCTTCTTGAGGCAAAAAAAAAAAAAAAGCCAAGCCCTGAATTCAATCCCAGTGCCTGTACCAATAAGCAAACAAACAAATAAATAAATAAATAAAGACTCTTAAGAGACTTCTTTCCTACCTCCCTTAGTCAAATTATGAAAGTCCATGCTCTTGAAAAGTAGCAGCTTAGCACATGTTGTCATCTAACAAAAATAGTCTCTAATGGGCTAGGAAGGTGGCTCAGTGGTAGAGTGCTTGCCTTGCATGTATGAGGCCCTGGGTTCAATTCCTCAGCACCATATAAGCAGAAAAAGCCAGAAGTGGTGCTGTGGCTCAAGTGGTAGCATGCTAGCCTTGAGCTGAAGAGCTGAGGGACAGAGCCCAGACCTAGAGTTCAGGCCCCATGACCAAAGACAACAACAACAAAAAAAGAGTCTCTAGGCAGATTGGGAATGCTATTGTGTTGATTTGCCATTATTTACCATTTAAGGGTCTTAATAATAGTCTTCTCTTACCCTTTCATTAAAGGTTATTGAAGGAGGCCACATTACTTTTTATCATATTGATTTCAGGTTGATAGTTGATCAGGTGACTTTGACTTTTATTTGGTGGCTTTAATTAAAGCCTTTTTAG